AAAGGGAATTCCAAAAAAAAATTGGGGGGGGGGTCCTGGAAAAAGGGGGAATCGTGAGGAGTGAGGGGGTCCCAAAAAAAGGGGGAATCCCAAAAAAAGGGGTCCTGGAAAAAGGGGGAATCGTGAGGAATGAGGGGTTCCAAAAAAAGGGGGAATCCCAAAAAAAGGGGGGAATCATGAAGAATGGTCCCAAAAAAAAGGGGGAATCCCAAAAAAAGGGGGAATCCCAAAAAAAGGGGTCCTGGAAAAAGGGGGAATCATGAGGAATGAGGGGTCCCAAAAAAAAAGGGGGAATCCCAAAAAAAGGGGGAAATCCCAAAAAAAGGGGGAAATCCCAAAAAAAGGGGGAATCCCAAAAAAAGGGGGAATCCCAAAAAAAGGGGGGAAACATGAAGAATGGTCCCAAAAAAAAAGGGGCAATCCCAAAAAAAAGGGGTCCTGGAAAAAGGGGGAATCCTGAAAAAAAAGGGGAATCCCTAAAAGAAGGGGAATCCCTAAAAAAAGGGGGAATCCCAAAAAAAAGGGGGAATCCTGAAAAATGAGGGGGTTCTGAAGGGGGATCCCCCCAAAAAAAACGGGAATCCTGAAAAAAAAGGGGGAATCCCAAAAAAAAAGGGGGTCCTGGAAAAAGGGGGAGTCCTGAAAAATGGGGGATCACGAAAAAGGGGGGATCCCTAAAAAAAGAGGGTCTTGGAAAAAAGGGGGAATCCCCCAAAAAAAACGGGAATCCCGGAAAAAAGGGAATCCCAAAAAAAGGCGGAAATCCCTAAAAAATGGGAGAATTCCCCAAAAAAACCCGGGGAGACCCCAGAAAGGGGGGGAGGGGTCTCGGTTTCTCAGGGCAGGCCCCGCCCCCAATCCCGCCCCTTCCCCCTCCCCCCCGCGGGGTGGGCGGGGCTGTAAATATGTAAATGAGCCGTTGGTGGGCGGGGCCGAGTCCTGGCTGTTCTTGGGGCGGTGACGTCATTTGGGGAGGTGACGTAATGGGGAGGGGGCGGGGTCGCGCCCCAAAGTGCCTAAGCCGGGGTGGGCGGGGCT